AGTAACTCTATATATATATATATATCTTTAATAGGAACTTTAGAAGCACATATGCAAATATGTTAATAAACATTGCCTGATATAAAATAAAATATTTTTATCTCGAGCAACACATTTTCATCACTTTGCATATATAATTTATTTGCATTTATATATCTAGGAACACTTAGATTTAAATTTTTACATTATTTCTCTCTCATCTTTTACTTTATTTACATTGTGCTTTACTTTAAATGCGAAATAATTTGCCAAGTTGGAGTCAAAATTTTCATTTTGAAATGCATCAAGGGGCTGCCCTTTCTTGTCTTAACTTACATGCATAAACCAATAGCTTAAATTAAAATCATGAGCTACTTTCCTCGCGCAACTTTCTATGACCCACATCTTGAGTTCTGCCAACGAGATCGCCTTTATTCGCATCGTCGAGTGCTCAACTTCCGGAATAATTCACAGTCAACTTCCATAGATGAGTGATTCTAAATCAGTTCTCCATTTGCATATTTGTTCGTCTCAGCGATTGTAAATTACAACCGAATAGGTAAACCGTAAAATTGATCTCGTTGCTATACGACAAGCAATTTCATTATTATTGTGATAAATTAAAAGAAATGTTTTCAAAAAAATAAAATGTTTCGTTTCCTGCGTTTCTGAAAATGCTGCACTATGTAATATGAATTTAAATTTAAACATGCGAGCAATATAATAGCTGTAATAGGAAGTAATGTGTGAGAATCATAACATGTATTACACCAGTGGGCTTCTAGCAATTCGAATCAAATAAATAAACGAATAAATATTCAGAAAGCGATGGCATCACGAGAGGTCCCGAAGTGCATCCATAAAACATGATCCTTCTCGACGGAGGAAGACAGAAGACGAAGGAGGGATTCAACGATTCTTCTTTCCAAAGAAACCGCGCATCTTCTTGTTTTTCCGCAGAAGGGAAACTCTTAGACGAGCAAGGGATCGTTTTCACGAAGGGTGTGAGAATATGTGGTAGCGTGTGAGGAAAAAGAAAGCAAAAGCGATCTTTGAAAAACGATGCGTCGCACGGATGTTCGTCTTGCCACAGAGTTGAAATGACCTCGGTCAATGTCGGAGGTCATTGCCCGACGTTGCGGTAGACGCGAGTATTGCTTTTCCTTACGTAAATGCAATTAAAAGTCGCCGCATTTGACATGAAAATTCATGATTTAGCATTTTCACAAGTTTTCAAATTATAATTCTACAGATTGTAGGTATCAAGACGAAATCAAAATTTATTTGAATATCGATACAGAGAACTTGTTAATCAATTATCTCTTATAATTTTAGATTTAAGGAAGTAAGATAAATATTTCAAAATAATAAAAAAAATAAAATGAAGAAATTGCAGATCGTTCTAGATCTTATTTAAAAGAAAATTTACAAATTTAATGACACTTTATCATCTGAATCAAAAGTTATTTCAATAAAAAATAGTATTTTTTTTAAATCTAACAAAAATGTATGGAAATGTATTATAAAATAATGACAAAAATCTTTATTTTTTAATATAAGTACTTTAAATATTCAAAATGACTTATGTAAAGTTGCAATGCAGAAATTATCCAAAAAATTTATTTGTTTCAAATTTTTGTAACTAATTG